AATTCTGTTAACTCTCATTCACACAATTGCACTTGATAAAGGCTGACCTGAGAACAGTTCTGTTCTATTATAATATTTAAGATTGCAGTATTTGTACTGGCCTTCAAAATTAAAATTAAACTCTTCTATCCTTCTGAGCAGTCAGCATGACTTTTGAAGCGATTTTTACTATCAAGCATTCTTGACACAACAATGACACACACGTGTGAAGAGTTCTGGTTCTTGAACTATTCGATCTTACAATCACTTTTTGATGTAATTTTTCTTCCACAGTGGAAAGAAAACAAAACCTAACTTTTACTACAAAATAAATTCTAATCACATCATCTTTTGACTTTGAAGACTAGATTTTAGATTGACTATCTCTACTTTCGAGAAAGCCTAGTCTTGATCTTAACCATTCTGATGGTGTTTTGTCCAGACATACACTTCCACAAAAACAATTCACCTTTGATCATTTTTGTTTCTACAAGACACCAAAAGGAATCCCTAACAATATTCCTTACTTGTGTTATTTCTGAAACTTGTTTCTTCAGTAACACATATCCTGGCTACTAATCAATCTTTGCTCTCCTCCAGCTGCCACAAGACTCACAAGAGCTTATGCCTTCTTGGGTAAAAATACTCCTAATAGCAAGTATTACGTCTGCAACATTAAGAGTTTTGTTTCCACATTGAGTTGTTAATCTGATGTAAAATCCAAGTTAAAAAGCATTGCATATATCAACTTTATGCAGCAAGAATTAAGCACAAGAAATATATAATGTTACAGACGTATACTCTAGGCCATTAGATTGCAAAAATACTTATGGTAGTAGGGTAGAAAACTGTACAGCTAAAAGGGGGATGTGGAATCATGAATGCAATTAGGGACAAGAATCTAATGGATGACAAAAGAATTCATAGGAAGAATCACTACAGAGGACAGTGAGAATTCTTATAGGAGCAGGGGTCAATGGGCTAAAGATGTTGATTTTCATTTCTACTTTTTCAAAAGCAAGATGTCTGATATATGAAGCTACTTCATTCAGGAAAGTATGATAAGAGAGATTCATATCACTTTTTCACCAAAGGTATGGTACCATTAGCCATATTACATTAAAAAAAACAAACACAACACGATAAAACCAGTAGCTCAGTTTTTCTACACTATAAATTTACTGTAAGATCCTTTTGGCAATATAGATGCATACCCTTCTTCCTAGTTCCTTTTTTTTTTTTTTTTCCCCCCTCCTTTCTTCAGTGAAAGTATTGTTAGAGACAGATCGCAGAAAAAAGGGACATCATTGAAAAAACATAGAAAGGCATGAGGTATTTAGGACCTACTGAAGAAAGGACACAAAAATTGTTTTGAATTCCTCAATGCAATTCATGCCATTGAGGTGAAGGAGTACTAGAATAAGACAGCTTTGACTATTTATGCACATCAGCACACACATACATATATGCATGCATGCAAACGTTCATAATACAAGAATAGCACCTATGCCAGGAACTACACGCTGAGTTCCCTTCCGAAGTGGATCTCTTCTTTATTGTGGACACTGTGGTATCACCGAAAAATAATACTTACTTCAAATAATCTTACAGGCAGCAACTCTTACCACATAAATCTATATTCCACAAACTCCAAGCAAAAAAATAATCCACAGAAATGCCTGAAATAAGACTGGTTTAAGTCTATCACTTTCTGCCAAAATTCATTCAGTTTGCTCTCCATTTCAGCTTTTTCAATTGTTACTGTCCTACAGTAGATCTTTATATTTCAGGTAACATATCCTGAGTTAGAAGTGATAGGATGGGAATCTGCTTCACTTACACCTCAAAACTCAAAGGATACTTCTGATCCTGCTGTTATTAAGGCTAGAAGTACTGTTAACATTACACAAACTCCCAAGGATTCTGACAGCACAGACTTGGGGAAAAAAAGAACAACAAAAAAAACCCCAACCATTAAACAAAAAACAAGTGCCCTATAAACAATTTTAAAGCAAGGTGAGATTCTGTTTCTAATCAATAACCTTTTAGTCCTCAAAAATGAGCTGTACAAAACATGCACTAATTAAGATTTACGTGCAAACATTCAATTGAACTGGATTTTGACAGGAAAACTGTGCATACTAGAAAGTTTGATTTGGGGGTCTCTTTGGGTTGTTTTGTGAAACTGCACAACTAGGTAGATACCTCTATATGCCTGTCTATGTCCGTCAATGTGAGCTAACTGCTATGTATCTTCGCTCAAACAATAAAACTGGCACATTCTCTGCTTATGTCAGTCCTGAAGTGTGAGGTATCTGAGTTGATACTTTTTCTGTAAGCAACAAGGTACACTCTCCCATGCCCCTCCCTCTCATGGCCACGTCCATTATTCAGCTGTTTTTTTGCAGCAACCCTGTTATCTACTTGCAGTCTTCTCACATGTAGGGACTGCATGAAGTTCCAACTTCTCTTAAAATCTTTTCGTACCATGGTACTACTCTCCAGCTCCAGCTTATTCCCTTCCGTGTATGTGGCAAGAATCCTCAAGATTTTCTGAGTAATGTAAGGACAACATTCCAAACCCTGCCTCTAAGAGTATGACAAAGCTGGAAAACAAATGCTGTAAGGAAAAAAAAAAAATCTTTCCATACCTATAGGCCTTGAACTCAATCTCACTAGAATTTTCCAGAAAAAAATAATTTAAAATAGTGTGATGAACAATGCCAGTATGGAAAATGTAGGCTTGAAAAGATTTTCAAAAATCAACATATGGAAACTGAAACACAGTCTCATATTTTGTAGTGGTAAAGCATCGTAATTACATATAACGTTACCCATCCTAACAGAAAACTTACAACACAAACAGGTACAAAAACAATAGAAGATATGTACCTCGCATATATAATACATATATTTTATTCAAAATACAGCTTTAGGTCTTGTCTGTTAGAAAATCTGTCTATGATAAATAAACCTGACTCAATATGAAATCTGTTATTATTTTACAGGAAATGTAATGTAATGTTTTTCTTTCCATTAAAAAAAAAAAAGGCATCTTTGAGATAATTAGCCTAACATCATTTAATTAAGTGCTGGAAATAGCAATAAATTACAAATCAGAGCTCCTACTCCTCCTCAAGTCATTTCAGAGGAAGAAAAGCAGTTAGACACTAAATTCGTCTGGATTTGGAAATCTTTTAAGCTTTACATCCATAAGCCCTGCTATTATCCTGTTCAATTTCTACAGCAAGTTATATGAAATCAAACACACTAAGATGTTAAAAGCCCTGAAGGGAAATAACTTAGAATAGACAAAAGGGAAATAATTTAGAATAGACAAAAGGAATTGCTTTGCTATGATATATATCTAGCTTGCAGTACACCAACACAACAGTTTGTTAATGTTTCTTGACTTAGAGCAGGCACTGCAGACTGCTACATTGGAACTTATTAAAACACCCAACATTTGAGTAGACACAATTTGCAGGGTAACAGTGTTGCTGTTAATACCATTAACAGCCACATTAATATGCATCAGTCATCAGTCTGAAATTCACTCACATGCATACTTTACACATACAAAGATCATTAATGGTTTAGTAATTTAATTTACTGTATCACTAGAAATGAATATGCACCTGTGGAATGTACATATTCCTCAAGTGTGTTGAATCCCACAACAGAGAAGAACTGTGTGCAGCAGGGTCAGAAATGCTCCTCTCTAAAGAGCATTTCATAGCTCTGTTCTGTGCTAGCCTCATACTTGTTCATTCCTATTGCAGCAAAAGCTTTGAATGCACAGACTGTATGTGGATTTGAAGCACACACTCAGGAGTAAATTTCTGCCCAGAGAGGCAGGATCCTAATGCTTGTGGCAACATGATCAATCTTCTAATTTGCTACAGCCAGAAAGGAAACTGAGTCCAAGCAAAAGGTCAGAACAGGCATTTTATATTCTCTGTTAAAGGAAGGGAGGAAAAAAATGTCTTTGAGGAATAAAGTAAGTAGCTAATGAGACACAGAACTGACAGCTGGAATTTAATAAGTATCCACTTCACAAGGAAAATTGCTCTTAGTAATTAAATACAGGTATCATACAAAGCTTCTGCTTAGAACCAGACTTCAAAATCTTTCCGTCAGTAGGACTGAAAGGGTTTTACATCCCAGGTAATATAAGGGTGGGTTTGCCTGGGAGGCTGGTCCTAAACAAAGAGGGTTAATTGCATAAAATTCACAGTCATGTCAGTGGTAAATAATTCCAAAGGGACTTGTTCAGATAGTAGTCTGGCATTACCGAAAAACAGACTGCAACTAAAAAGACCTGTTATAAAGTCCACCAAAACCCGAGACATATAAAAACTTTATTAGTCATTTCAGAACTAAAATGCAAACAAGATCTTTTTAGAGGGATCCAAAATTCTTAATGTTCCAGGTCTGTAGGGCCATAAAACACTACCTGAGAAAATTTTAAACAATCTTATAATTAATTACAGAATTTTATAGCCTCTCACAAGCTGTACATAAAACATTAACAAGGTAGGGAGAAGGAAGTCCTCTTTGTACTAAGCATGACTCCCAACCCCATTGACATACCCCACTTGACGAATCAGGTTAGAATTTAACATCAAACTGAGATTATAATGGATACTAGCACACAGAGCTGGTGTTTCGTTTATGGGCTTGCATGCCAATAAATGAAGGGATAAGTCTCTAAATAACTGTGAGCATCTGGAAGAGCAGAGTCTATTTTTCTGTAATTTTTACCATCAAAATAAGACCTCATAACATATTCTTAATAAAACTAATATCTCTAAAAAGATATCTTGATTCTCACCTAATTAGTAGTCCAACAGAAATATGTTGGTATCAGAGAAAGAAAGCAGTCAAGTATCTAAACTAAGATGAGTGATCATACCAGACATAGTCAGTAGAATTGCATTTACTCTGGTATGTATAACATAATTACACAGCTGTAATTACCTCAACATAAGAGCACTGACTTTGCAATATATGTTACTTACCTCATAGAACATAGGCACATCCTTAACCTTTTTTCCCTTCTGACTTCCAGATTCTGCAATCTGCAAGGAAATAAAGCATTCTGCTGTGATCAGATTTTAATTTTAAACAAATTATTTTACTTGTTATTGTAAATACAACAAAACTTGCTATTGTAAATCATCTTAAAGTTCCTTAGGGAGGGAGCTTTGATGAGCACCTTGAAGAAAAGTCTGAAGAAGACTCAAACACAGGGAGCAAACCAACTTACATAGTAAGGTTCTCCACCTCCATTTTTAATTCCTATGAAGTAGTGTAACTTTTGAAATTTCCAGAGTGATTCATTTATGGTTTGGTTTGTTATCAAAAGTTCCTTTCTTGGAATACCTGTCTGAAGATATCTTCACGTGCTACCACGCTGAACAGCTTCCGCTGTGGCACCTGCACAGCAAGGGACAAGGCCTTTGTGTGAATTTCATCCTCAATTCTGGCTCCCACCACAAAAGCGACGCTAGGCTTCCAATCATCCTGCTTTCCAAAATAAAATATTTAATGCATTAGAACACGAGCACACAATAAAGCTTCTCTGCAGTTTGAATGAGTGAGCACGTAGCCATAATTACTTTATTTAACACATATTCATTATCATATGAAACACACTACAATAAAGTGTACAACCTGCAAAAGCACATACTGATTTATTCCAATTATTTCTGCCATCAGGTGGCAGCATTATGCTGTGGAAAAAGCAAGAGCCCAATAATACCAGAACACCTTAGAGGCAGATGCTGCATTGACATTGCACAAAGGTGAAATAACTTTTGCATGTCATTTGCACATTTGAGAGTCTGGTAAACAAAAAGGATGTAGAATTTAAACGTATGTATTTATACTGCTGGCATTATCTATTTGCTCTAGAAAAATGAAAAAAAATCCAGCTTCTTCATCCTGGAAAAGAGAAACTGACTGGATACTATTTTCTAAAAAACATGGTATTGTTTGTATGTTTTATAAGGGTCTGTCTATTCATGCATTCTTACAATTTTTCACTAAGTATTTGAACAAAGATAAATTTTGTGCAAATGGGTCATTTAAGCAAATCTTCTCCACTGTTTTTACTCCAACTGGAATCCCTTTCAGAAAGTGAGTGGTCATCTCCAACACATCTATAGCTCTCTCCAGTGTTCTTTATCAGCATCAGTGACACCTGAACTGGTGGCACCTGAACCAGAAATACATCTAGGAGTTGTGTTTTCCACACTTCAAGACACACCATGTTATATATATTCTATTGCACACCTGCATGTTTAAACTGCAAAGATATCAATAAAACTTCATTAGGGTCAACACGGAAACAGCTTCAGCAAGATCTAAGTGGTCCAAAGACACTGTCATACAATCAGGAGCAGGTTAAGCAGACTGCTAAAGAGAAATTTAAGAAAAGCTAATCATGCAGGATTTTTATGAAAATATTTTCATATTAATATATCATGAAAAACGCATGCATGTATGCTTGCAGAACAATAGAACAAAACCTGAGTATACAGTAAAGACAGGGAAAGAATCTTTCAAAAAAAAAAAAAAAAAAAAGATAAAAAGTCAGGTTTATCTTTTTCCAGTTTCACAACACTATTCTTCATTTGTTCCTTCTCATATCTGAAAAAAAAAAAAAAAAGCCTACCCTAATTCTTTGCAATAGAGAAGTGTGTCCAGCCACGTTGCAGTGGTGACACTGCTCACTGGAAAAATGGCAATGGCTGCAGCACTGCTGGCAGCTCAGCTCTCCATCAATGACCCATGCGGGGACTGACGTAGGTCCACTCAACTCCTTTTTCCCCTTTCTACAGAGCTGGGGAATACTGACAGCTCACCCTGCCTAAAGTTGTCAAGATAGCTGTGGGTGTATAAACGAACTTGATATTTTAACATTATCATCAAAACATGTACAGGAGTTGCAGTTAATGTGAATTACAGTTAAATTTGTCATTGTACAGCTGCCTTCTTTGAACAGAGAGTATTTGGATGTCCATACTTGTGTGCAAATGCATTATATTCTAGGCTTCCACAAGTGCAAGCTGTCGTGATTGAATGACTCTCTTGTATCAGCATTGTGAGCAATGCTGGAGCCTTGAGAAGGACCATCCAGACGTGAGGTAAGCAAACGGAGCAGCTAATCACCAAGATGTTCTCCTTAGTGTAGGTCACCAAGAGGGGAATGAAATGCAGTAGGTGTCTCAGAGACAGGCCAATAGCACAAACAATGAAATATTCAGAAACGCAAAGTTTTAGTCTTGGCTTCAGGTGGGGAATGATCCAGTAGCAACAGTGCCTGTTCCTACAATGTCTTTGTTTTTCAGATGTGTGAAAAAAACTCCATCAGAGTTCTAAGACCTCTCTACCTCATGCTCTCTTTCTCTTTAGAACACGCCAGTACCTTGGTGCCCAGAAATTACATCTACTTAGAACTAAGATCATCCTGGAACAGTGATGCCTGTGAAACCTGTATTCCTCCTAGCTCTGACTCTTCTTGACCTTTGCACCCTTAGCCCACAATTGTTGCTATCTCACTTCTTCTGTTTCTACTCTCTGTTTCAGAGTGCCATAACTTCTCCAAATCCTTCTCACACCCAGTTCTTGCATCCCTAACTCCTAACATCATCTTCTCCTCAGTCTCCCCATGCAGTTAGTCCTCAGCTTCATTACATGACTTCATTGCCAGCTTTCTCAAGTCTCAGATTCCTTGTCCAATTCCAAGCACCTTTAATATTTTCCCAGGCACTTGGCTTATGTGTAACTGGACTTTTTTCTTTGCAACACTTCTTCATTTCTTTGAGAGGCACTTGAAGCCAAGGATAAACATTTCCTGATTTCTACTGAGGTGGTCACCTTCAGAGAAGCCCATAGCACCGATGCAAAACATCAGGATAAGTCCAGCTTGTGAAAATGAATTACCCCAAAACCTTTCAGATTTATCCAAACAAAACATTTTCAGGGATTCACCAAAGGTATGCTCTTGACACTAGTAGCGTCATTTTCCCTCCATTAATTTTCTGCTTCAAAAGAGCTTCTCCACAGAACAGCTCCTATCCCTCTTTAGCTGGAATATGAATTAGAAATATATTCCTTTTATAGAAACACACAACACCTGTGAACAGGAGCTGGATAAATACAGCAATAGCTATACAGACTTGAGCAGGGAATAATGATGCAGAATTCCCAGTTACCAACAGCATGCCATCTATTTCTACACCCACTGATTTTGAAGCCCTTGAGGTTCATTTTCCAGTAAAGTGGAATGTTCATAACAGCAACTGAGGTCAATGTGGACAAAGAATAGCAGCATTAGTAGCATTAGTACATAGCTTAAGATGTTCAACTGACTGTCTTTCTTCTGACCTTAAAATTTATTATTTTTTGCAACACTGTCCTTATATTATCAATACTGTAACAGTACCCTTAATGTTCAAGGCTTTGAAAGGAAAGAGAAGAAACAGACCCTGCTTCTACAGCTCACCACCTAAAATCACAACATAAAACTGAGAAGGAAGAGTAATAAAATGTATACGGTTACTTTTAAAACATATTCTCCCTCAATATACAACTGCTGCTCTGCTCAGTTCAATTTTTTCAAATGTTATTCTAGAAGAGAGTCCTAACAAAGGATCTGAGGGAGCACAGATTAATGACCTCAGGGTTACCTCAAATGAAGTTCCCAGCTTAGAGTATAGGACAGAGAAAATCATGCAATAACTAGAGGAAAAGCACAGAGACAGCGTGGGGAGGCTGCCATTAGGGGAACAGCAGAAGCACTCCTGACTGTCAGTGGAGATGAGGGAAACAGAGATAGCAGACTGCCCAGAGAATCAACAGCACTGGTTCAAAACTGAGCGCTAATAATAATGGGAAATGTGACACTGGTAACTGGATATCTTCTATGCAATTTCCAGTTATGGGTAGGATCACTCTAACTGGAAGATACTCGGTTACAATCACTGTCACAAATGATTACGTGTCCCTCATTTCAAAACACTTGACCATGTCAAGACTTGAAACAAGTCAGAATCTCTCAGAAATGATCAATAGGGGAAGCTTGAATGTCCTTCTGCAGAAGAACCTCTAGACCCAGCAAGATCCACCTAATTCCCAAAACTCCACACAAGCAGCTTTCTTTCCATTTTTAACGTCTTGCTTCATTTCCTAGATGTAGAAGAGCAGTTGTTTCAGAGGAGACATTTGAACAAATCAGACACATTGGCTACACTTGAAGTACTGGTTTCTAGATTCCTGTTGCTAGAAAAAGCATCAAACAGTTGTCTCATCTGTGGGTGTTTTGTTTGTTTGTTGGTTTGTTTGTTTGTGTGTGTGTTTCCTCCAAAGGGCCACAACTAGTAGGCTCATTTCTTTACATTGTAATTTCAAATGTAACTCTAATTGCTAAAGGGAAACATTTGAAAGCTTAAAACTCCAAATATTTGAGCATTGAAAAATGAGATTCTTTAATCTCCTCAATTTTAAGTAAAGCCCTAGAAAAAGCAAGATTTATAAGTCATTTATGAAGGCTTGGGAAGGCATAACCCTTAGCATTTTTTGTTTTCAGCAATGAGGGAACTTGTAAACCTGTAAATACAGCAGGAATTAGTGGAAAAAGTGGCTCATCAGCAATTTTGCAGCCCTAATGCAGAGATGCGCAGGGCATCAGTGTTAAGATACCTTCAAGTCCGCTTTCATTACCTGCTGACTGACACCTACCCACATTACTACTGGATTCTGGTTTCAGGAGCTTGGGCTTTTGCTGCATGATTGCAGGTTACAGAGCAACACAATTCAACTGAGCATTTAGTTTCTCTCCAAAGAGCAAGCAGAATGAACAGAGATCAAAAGTTGAGCCATCCTATTCAGAATGTTTTCAATGGTTTTACAAGGTCTAGATTCAGTTCAATTTTCAGGCCTTAAAATGCCGATAAAGCAAAACAGTACAGATGGGAAATCAGAGCAGAACGCGACTTCCAGTTGCTATGCTCAGTTAGAGCACCTAATAAGGACATAGAATAGATATATCAGAGCTGTGTTTGCTCAGAATTCACTTTTCAACCAGCAAATACAGCCTTATATCTACTCAAAGCATGAAAAATATAAATCTGAGCATCTTAGTTTATATTTTGTGATTAAATTTTGCAATTAACCCAATCAAATTATCCTGATAAATAAATGAAGACAAACGCAACTTGTAGCTCCTTTTTTTTTCTGCAGAGTACGTTAGAAACAAAAGATGTATATAAACTACGTTAGACTCTGCAAAATCCATATTTCCTCTGTACCTGTTTTTATGTTGTCTGTTTGCCAGTTTTCACAGTGTTTTTAAGAAAAAGCCATTATTTGGTTAGTAAATACCAGTTAAATCATATTTTGGTTAGCATACCCTCCATAAAATGTTAACACCACATGTGAAATGACTCCTTTTCATAAGATCAGGCTAATAAAATATTCTAAGTAAGTCATAAACACACATCAAAATGTGAAATTTCATTGCTTAGCTTACCTGGTACAGTATAAAACCAGTTCTAGTAAATGCCCTCTGACTCCACTAAAGGGAAAGAATATTCTCTAAATTGATAAAAGATTTTAAAATTCATTATACATGATTTACCAGGAGAGAAATGTACTTAATTGGTAGGAGTTCCTGTCATCTCCCAAATATTTCAGCTTCATACAGTATATTGCATACGATGCAAGAAATAATTTTGCACAGTGTGGTTGGTGACACCTATAATTAAAATAGCTCAACACTTTCTATAAAAGGCTGCTTTCAGTGTCTGACCTTTACGTATTTGAGTTTAAATGCTATATGCTGTAAGATTGCTGAGGAGGGCAGGGAGAGAAGAGGATACTGAGTTTAGACTATTTGCTGAACGAGGTTTGATTAGAAAGATCATTTTTACCCCTTCATAACAAAACCTTACGTGATTAAGTAAGTAAGAAAATCAGTTTTTTCCACGTTCAAGAGGAAGAAACAAAAATTTGGCAGCACAGGCACACATACGCCAAAGCTATGGCTTTACAAAGCACAATCATTTACATTAAGTATATCCATGTCTCGGCATCATGAACTCTGATGCTCGGAAGAGCATTCGAAAGCTAAGTACTATGTCTGTCTCTGCCCAGGATAATCAGAGCTGAGTAAGAATTCCCTCCAACAGGGCGTTTTAGCAGTTGCCCAGCACCACAGAAGCTTGAGCTCAAATTGACCCCGAGGCTCTGCCTGCCAGCAGCAAAACAGTGAAAATGGAATTAGTTTAATTGGAACATAAAACACATGGACAGTATCACAATTAAGGAACCAAGGAATCTTAATTAAGCTCCCTTGGGTACAGGCATTACAATAATCCTTAATTAGGTGATCACATACTTTCTTCCAACAGGATTCTGATTCCATTCAGTGAATACATTCAATATTTCTTTCCATCTGCCTCAATGTGTGGTCCCGAATAATCCTAATTTTGGTATTTCCTAAATTTTGAGCATTTATTTCCTACCTTTTAAAATACCTCAATATAACAGTTTATATTTAACAAATGTAATAAATTACAGATAGAAGCAGTAGAATAAACAGAGCACTTTGTTTAGTGAATTCACTGGACAATATCCACAGCCACAATAAACACCACCATAAAAACAAAATTTCGCTAATTGGCACCTTGCTAGCAAGCCCAGGAAAATGGCCAGGAGCTGAGAAGGGTATGGAGAGGGAACCTCCACCTCTTTCTCAGTCTTTGAGGATGTTCTCCTGGAGTAAGGATGGAATTCGACAGCATGAAAGGGCTCAAGTACTTTTGAAAATGCAAATTCAGAGGGGGGGAGGGAGGAGAGGAGAAGAGAAGCAACAGGCTCAGATCAGCAGAACTTACTGCAAACAGTGATTTTGTTTGGCTAATCTTGTACAAGATGGTGACTACCAAACGAAAAAATGAATGCAAGTTAAGTACTTTTGGGAGACTTTTGGAATCAGAGGCATTTTTGGAAAACTGAGCGGCCAATTTAAATCAGAACTCTGAAGTCTTCACGCTTACCAGAAGTGTTACCACATTATGAAAAAATAACAAGGCGAAAACACAGCAAAAAATACTCTGGGTCTTCAAATGAGGCAGGAACCCCCAAACCCCCCAAACAAGGGGTCCATGGAAGTCATTTGTCTCACTTGCAGAAGTGGTGCTATACAAACACATGCTAGAGAAATATTATTGTTTGTAAAACTGCCGTGCTATTTTGAAACCAAATTTCTTTCTTGCAAGTCAAGATTTATTAGAATGACATTGCTTACGCATAGAACCTGGAAACCCAAATACGCCTTTAGACCCTCACATGTTGTTCAAAAGCAAAGGAGAAAAAAAAAAAAAAAAAAAAAAAAAAAAAAGCGCCTTTTAGCTGCTCAACGCTCACGCAGGAAAATTACAGCCTCACATTTTCAACGCGGGAGTTAATGCTGTGTCAGCACCTCCACGAAACCCCCGTTGTTCAGCAGTTTATAAAAAGTTCACTCCGAGTCGAAACTTGGCGCCCGACCCGGGGATAGGAGAGCAGGCGGCCGTGCCGTGCCGAGGGCGGCTTCCGGAGGTGGACACGGGGTACCCCGCACGACCCGCGGCCCCCCAGAACGTCCCTCGCCCCGTTAGTTTCAGGCCCCCCTCGGCCGCCCTTCGCTTTCACCTCCTCCAACGGGGCGGACGCCAGCGCAGTCTCCCAGCTCTTCGCTGCGGTCCCCGCGGAGGAGGAGGCGGCCGCCCCGCCGGCCTTGGCCCGCTTGGGGGCCATGGCGGTGCCGGCTGCGGACGGAACTCACGCGTCGCCCCGACGACCGGTCTCCGCGTGACCGCGGCTTGTAGCCGCGCCGTCGCTGCGGCAACCGGTCCAGCAGCTCTTCGAGCCCTATAGGCATGTGCTGCCTGCTGGTGGGCCCGAGGCGGCGGTGGAGCCTTTCGAGGGGCTGGAGGCTATAGGCTGAGCAGCGCACCCGGCATAGAACCGAGGCGCTGCGCCTCGAGCCGGCATTTTGTGCCTCGGAGAAGAGCTTGGGGTTGGGTGCGTGCAGTGGGTCTGGAGGGGGACTTCGGTCCCCTGACCCCCTCGACCTCCTCCTCATCCCCTTGGAACTGTGCTCGGCCCCTGGGCACAGGTGTGGGTGTCCCGGGCCAAAATCACCGGCTGAATGCTGCCAGATGTGCCGGCACGGGGACCCAAAGGGGAGAGGGAGGAACGGTTGGGAGAAAGCAGGAGAGCTGCCAAGATAAAGAATTCATTACAGAGGAGTCATGTTGTGATCTCACAGTGGAGACGAGTGAAATATTCTGTGTGATTTAACATTTGGTGAAAATATCCCAAACCACATGGTGCCCTTCCCCCAGCCCGCTGCACCGACCAGCATTGCTTGGAGCCTCCAAATCTTTTAATTTTGCAGGAGCCTTAAAGCCATGCTGTGCAGCCCGTTACTGCTTTATTCTGTATTGTATTCTAGGATGATACTGAACCTCATGTACGTTCTTTATAAAATATCTTCTAATTACATGCAGTAGAAAACTATTAATTTAAGTTTATAAGAGACATAAGATATCAGTCTTGTATCATTGTAGTCTGCAGAAGAGCATCTTGCCTGGGTTTGTAGACAGTGATGTAGTTTATAACATGGGAAAGCTGCACAGTGGATTTGCCAACACCCATAAACATGTTCTCCCACCCCATTTCTTGGCTAATGTCCATTTTTCTCTTTTTGAGGTTTTCTTTTGTTGTCCTGAAAAAAAAAAAAAAAAAAAACGCACAAAAACAGACTGCAATTGTTCAGAGAAACAGAGAGGATGGCATTCCCACCAAATCTTGTTCTTCATTAAGGTCTTGGTTATACAGACTGTGCCTGCTGAGGTGTATGGAGAGAGTATGGGGAAGAACTTATGCCAGGAGCAGCAGAACAGGACAGAGGAATGGGGCAGAGTGCACAGATAACATTGCTGAATACCATTACTATGAACTGTCCTGATTTTTTTTAATGGCTCAGTTTTTCAGTCTGGTTGTAAGCTTCAGTATGACCAGTGGGAGAGGACTGTGTACCCAGTTCCTGATGGTATGGGGAACTATACACTACTATCATGCCAACAGGAGATGAGGACTGCTTAAGCACTACGTTCTATGCCCACACCTGGAGCTGTAAGCTCAGGGTTGGTGGGAAGACTGAAATCAGAAAGGCACAAAAAGGTCTGAGAACATGAACAATAGCTGTGAGAATCAAGAAGTGGCCTCTTTTTACCCATTGTGCGTTTGCTTTGATGGGTAAGGATTAGCTGACAGAAATTGTTTTGTTCTGCTGCTTATCGTTAGTACTAACACACTGTCTAACTTGCTGTTTATTGTTGTTGGATGCTGTTACAAACAGCGAGTCAAGCTGAAGTGGGATGGCCAATTAGGGAGCTTACCAGTTCATTCAAAATGACCTCCACCACTCTCCTGAACAAAGGAGAGAAAAAAATTATACCCTAGTGCATAGCTCTAAAATAGGCTTTCCAGTAGTGAAGTCAGCTAAAGATGTCTCCTGTTTGGCTGCTTGTCTCTGTCCATTCAATTGTGCTGCCAAAGATGCTTGCAGGCCAGGCTATAAACCATATCACTGAAACTCTCTTGGTTAAATTCCCCAACAGACAAAAACAGCAAATCAGAAATATTGGGAAACTACAGCCTTTGTTCTCTCCAAATGGTGGAGGCTGCAAAACTTTGAGTTATCTCTCAGCCATCTGCAAACTTCCAGCTTCCTTCTGATAACTAAAATATGAAATTGCTGAAATCTTAAAACTTGCATTAAGAAAAATGAATGTAATTCAGTGATACAGATAAGCCAGGAATAAGAATACACAAGATAAATATCCAGAGCAACAAAATGTGGTTGGGAATACCCACTTTAAAATAAATGGAATGTACAGATGTACCCCTTCCATTTCTGCGTAGTGAAACTGAGTTTCCATCAGTGCAAGTGATAATAGGCAAATCTGTGATGACTTTGTGTGTGACAAGAATATTTATGGTGTTATTTTCAGGCAGAGGGCGACCTAAAAGTTATAAAATCACTCATTTATTTTCCGGCTTATTAAAACCATCACAACAAAAAAACATGAATACATGAACAAACGAGTGTGAAGTAACCATAGCTTTGGTTTTATCATAGACTTGCAATTCCAAATAACGCTGTATGTAAATATGAGGCAACTTGCATTTACCTGGGAGAAAACTAAACCATTCTGTACTTTTTCAATTCACACAGCAGGATAGGAGAATGTTCATGTTAGTACTGCAGTGTGGTTATATGTAGTAACCTGTGCCCACACCTTTAATAATAATAATATAGAAATAATAATTACAAATTATTGACTAAATTATTAATTAGAATTTATTAAAACATTAAATAATTGATAACTGAAATGTTGGTAAACCTCAGAGAAAAAGAGACATTAATTGATTTTTATTATACCATGACTTAAAGAACATTTACTCTTACTTGTTTTCCAGTAAAGGGTGGAGAGTGAAAAGAAACAAATGTTTATAAAAATTGTGTCTTCGCTACTTGATGTTTCCTGGAAGACTACAGTTGACTGAAGAACTAGTAGTTGTTTTGTGTCTTTAATAATTAAAGCCTCATCAACTGAGAGGCAGAATTAATTTAATCATGCTTGTTTTTTGTTGTTCCTCCCCTCCAAGTGCTTATTTTAAATGCTCAACAAATATTTGGAAAACACTATATTTTCGTTAAGAACCATCAACTTCTCTCCTTTGGTTGACAAGTTACCAAAGAGTGCTCTTTACTCAAGTCCTTAAGAACACACTTAATTACTTTATATTGCTTTCCTAAGATTTAAATGTTTCTTGAATAGCAAGGCTTCCTGAATTATGGCTTCAGAAGGCTGTTTCCGTTTTGGAAAACTTTCCACAAGGCTGTCAAGAACAGCTAGCATGGCCATCAGCACTGCTAAGGAAAACAATCTTTCATATTCCTTATATATGTAAAAGAAGAAAGGTATTAAAAAAATATATATTTTTTTTCCCTAAAAACACTATTCAATTCTTTTTCTATGAAAAAGGAAAAGGGGAAAGAACATAAAACTTCTTTCACTTTCCTGTTCAGTATTACAGTGCTGCAATACTTAAGCAGGGAACAGCTTTTCTTAAAGTTTGCAACCCCTCAGGACACAATCATCTCACAAGTTACAGTGATATGGCAGCAATGGCATATGTTTCCCCAGCCTCCCTGAACTTGCACATATGAAGTTGGATATAAGAAGTCTTTACCTACAGTTACTGCTCTGCCCACAAAATGCTTCCTTTTTTTAATTTTTTTTTTATTATTTTTTTTATTCTTAGTCTCTAAATTTGTTTATATGATTTGCATAGAGCTTTCCACAATGAACTGCATTGGCCTAGTGAAGGTGGACCAAGTCATCTCTTCTGGCATCAGGACCTATAAAGCTAATTTCTACATTGGTGAATTATCAGTGCAATGTAATTAATGACGTACCCTGAAAGGGACAAAAGTTGAGCATGAATATTAGTGCAGGTCCCTTTTGAGTGTGACGTGGTGGGCTGAAAATATTTCTGGCAACAGAAGTCACTTAATGACTGGGTGCTAACTATTCCTTATGGTTAAATACAATAAACTGTCCTCCTCAGATTTTAATAGGACTTTTGTTATAACCAGGTACAACTTGCTAGGTAATGTGTTATGTAGTAACTGGAGAGACAGTAGGTGGTTGTGGATATGTGAAACCAAGACATCCAAATGGCAAGACCCACTTTCTGGATTGAGGCCATGGCATGCACAAATTGACAGACATAATCTGTAAGTGTGCTGCTTTAGTCTGTCCATCTAATGGCCAAAATCAAAGGAAGCATCTCCCTCAGGCTCTAACATTTGTGTTGTTCTGGCTAGCTATTGTTTTCCCTTTGCTCACATTTTCCATCAAGCTGAGCTACAATGTATGTAGCTTCTGTTGTTTATCATTAACATAACATGCAGAGCAGATCCAACTTCCTTTGTACGTACAAATAAGATTACATTTAAGAGCCTCTACCAACTTTGTTTACTGAGAGAGAAACATACAGGTCCCTACATTTAATTTCAGAAAATATACTTTTGTAGCCTAGTCTATCCCACATGCATGTTTTTTCCAGGAGAATGATTTTTCCTCTCTATAGCCAATGATATAAGGATTCCTGGAAAAGCTCAAGATGAAATCCATTATTGTCTGTTAGTAAAATGACTTCCAAATTCCAGCTGGATGCTGTGCAAGAAAACTCTCTCTGCATTTGGTATTGCAGTTCCACTGAATTTTGGTAGTGGGATTTTAGAAGCAGTTCAGTACTGCCAGTCAGCAATAAAAAGTCCAATATCTGATATCTCAAGCTTTATCCCTGCCTCTTACATAGCAGATCACGTGTTTTTTATTCTTCTCCTTGAAGAAGTAAATCCAAAGAAAACATTTTCCCACCCTTGGAGAAAGTCAAACTTCCCAATCCCTCCATCACCCCATCCTCCTATACTTTCAAATCCTGTATCATTGCCTGCTTTCTTCTGTCACAAGAAGAGTATTTTTCCTAAGGATAGAGTCCTCCATGCAGATCTGCTCCTGTAGCACTCATACCATCATTGAGAATCTTACACAGTAGTAATGAACACTAACCACTAACCTTTCTCAACAGCCAAACAAAGCAAAGTCTAAATAAAAGAGATTTGAAACATTATACTCCTAATGCTGCAAAAACAAAACTGTTTCTAATGTGCTAAAAACAAACATTAACACTACGGAGGGTAAGCAGGCCTAAGATCCATGCCACAGAGTGCACTGAAGGTATTGATAATATGTGGTGGCAAGACATGGTATGTTAGTTTGTTTTTTAAAGAAGACATTACTTCTAATAACCCATGCAATTTGAACTAGAATTTCAGTAATTACATTATTAGCATCATAATTCTTTGGCCTTGATGTCCTAATTCTGTGAACTTTCTGCAGATAATGCCTAATTGTGGAATAACTAAATTACAACAATGCAATTTATTCTGAAACTCTTCCTTCAATTTTAATTCTCTCCTTTCCAACCTAATTCCCTGTG